CCTTCCCTGCGTCGAGGGGCGGCAGCGCGCCGCTCCTCACTCCTCCTCGTTTCCCCCGACGACTGCTCCCCTGCAGACTCTCCACATGGATGTGTGGGGCCCAGCCCGCATAAGCGGATAGGGCCGCGAGTGCTACTTTCTACTGGTTGTTGACGACTACACGCGGTACACCACGGTCTCCCCCTTGCGCAGCAAGGGTCAGGTCGTGGATGTCTTGATCCCTTGGATCCACGCAGTCCGTCTCCAGCTCTGCGAGCGGTTCTGTGCGGACCTTCCTGTCCTGCGTCTTCACTCTGACAGAGGTGGTGAGTTCTCCTCCGACCTCTTGCGGGACTTTTGTCATGGGGAGAGCATTCTCCAGTCGTTCACGCTTCCAGACTCCCCTCAGCAAAATGGGATTGCTGAGCGCTGCATTTGCCTAGTCATGGAGGTCGCTCGTACCTCCATGATCCATGCGGCTGCTCCCCATTTTCTGTGGCCGTTAGCGGTCCGGTACGCCGCGCATCAGCTCAACCTCTGGCTCCGTGTCTCCTTGCCGGAGACTTCGCCTACACTGCGTTGGACGGGGAAGGTTGGCGATGCGTCGGTGTTTCGGGTCTGGGGTTCTCGTGCCTTTGTTTGCGATACGTCCGCGGACAAGCTCTCCGCCCATGCTATCCCCTGCGTTTTCCTTGGCTTTGTCCCTGACGCGCCTGGCTGGCAGTTTTACCACCCCACCTCGCGCCGTGTCTTTTCCTCTTAGGACGTCACTTTTGACTAGTCGGTTCCCTTTTACCGTCTCTTCCCCTACCGCTCTGCTCCTCCCCCACCCCCGCCACTCTTCCTTGCTCCAGGTCCCCCTCTGGTAGACCCCCTCCCCCCCAGGGTCCTGCTCCCTCAGGTGTGTCTCAGGTTCTCGTGCCTTTGTTCGCGATATGTCTGCAGACAAGCTCTCCGCCCGCGCCATTCCCTGCGTCTTCCTTGGCTTTTCCCCTTGCGCGCCTGGCTGGCAGTTTTACCACCCCACCTCGCGCCATGTCTTCCCCTCTTAGGACGTCACTTTTGACTAGTCGGTTCCCTTTTACCGTCTCCTCCCCTACCGCTCTGCTCCTCCCCCACCCCCGCCACTCTTCCTGGCTCCAAGTCCCCCTCCGGTAGAACCCCCCCCCTCCCAGGGTCCTGCTCCCTCAGGTGTGTCTCAGGTAGACCCACTCTCCCTGGTAGACCCCCTCTCTCTGGTACTGCGCCTGTTGAGCTAGCCGTCGGCTTAGGTGCTGCTCTAGGTGCTGCGTCTGGGGGTGCTGCGTCTAGGGGTGCGGAGCTTGGGGGTGCAGAGCCTAGGGGTTTGGGGTCTGAGGGTGCCGGGTCTGGGGGTGCGGAGTCTGAGTGTGCCGGGTCTGGGGGTGCTGAGCCTGCGGGTGCTGAGCCTGCGGGTGTGGAGCCTGGGGTTGCTGAGCCTGAGAGTGTGGAGCCTGGGGGTACTGCAACTGAGGGTGCGGAGTCTAGGGTTGCTGAGCCGAGGGGTACTGCTTCTTCTGGAGGTCCTGCGGGTGCTCCACCATACTGTCTCCTCACCCGGAGCCTCTCTCCCCGTAGCAGCTGCGCGAGTGGTTTGCTCAGCGCACACGCCTTTGGAGTGGAGCTGCCGGAGCTGGAGTCTCTGCCGCTAAAGACACTGGAGCTGGAGGTGCTGGAGCTGCTGCTGGAGCTGGTGGTACCGGAGGTGCTGAAGGTGCTGGTCCTGGAGGTTCTCGTACCGAGGGTACTGGAGCTGCCGGAACTGGTGGTGTTGGGGGAGCTGGAGCTGGAGACCCTACCGAACCTGGAGCTGCTGGGGCTGGAGGAGCTGGAGCTGTTGGCGCAGGTGCTGGAGGCACTGGCGCAGGAGGCACTGGAGCTGGAGGAGCTGGAGCTGTTGACCCTGGAGCTGGAGGTGCTGGCGAAACTGTGCGGCCGCGACTGTACTTCGTTCCCCTGCTTCAGCAGGTTCTTGGTGTCCTGTCTTCTCCTGACCAGTCGCAGCCGCCGTTACAGCCAGCCTCCCCACCGTGCTCCTTCTCCTTACACTGAGCAGACAGGCGGTCTTACAGAGTGTTGTGAGCCTGCGTCTCGTCCTGCCTCCCCTATTCGCACTGGTCGTCGTGTTCCTCGTCCGCGTCCCCCTCCTGTCCCCGGCACACACGCTATGGCACTTCATCCTTCCTCTGTTCCACTGCGTGTTCCTCAGCCGCCTCCTCCTGAGTCCTCTCTTCCTGCCCTCCCTGACCCTTAGTCTGACCGCGCTCGTGCTCCCAGTCCCACTGTCTCTCGTCTCCTCGCCACTGTTGTCACTGACCCTTCCTTTGAGTCTGCTGCTGCATCTGCCCTCGTTGCTGAGCTGCTTGACTTTGCTGCTGCCTGTCGTCTAGACTACGCCACTGCTCTTGTTGCTAAGTCTGCTGAGTCTGAGTCTGCCAGTCCTCCGTTCGTCGGGGGTGAGTGTGCTCTTGGCACGGACGTCCTTGAGGACAGGCAGGAGGACCTTGAGTATCTTGCAGCTGCTGTACCTCGTTTCGCTTCCATGCTGCTTGCCCCCGAGGGAGACCCGGATGCTCCAGACATCCCGACCCCGCGCTCTTACGCAGAGGCGATTATGGGTCCTTACTCCTCTCAGTGGCAGGCAGCCATGGATGCCGAGATGGCATCCTGGAAGTCCACAGGCACCTACGTCGATGCAGTTCCCCCGTCTCGGGCGATCATAGTCGATGGCATGTGGATTTTAAGGGTGAAGAGGCCGCCGGGTTCTCCGCCTGCCTTCAAGGCGCGTTACGTTGCTCGAGGCTTCAGTCAGCGACAGGGGGTCGACTACTTCCAGACCTTCTCCCCCACCCCGAAGATGACTACTCTTCGGGTGTTGTTGCACGTCGCTGCTCAGCGTGACTACGAGTTACACTATCTGGACTTCAGTACAGCTTTCTTGCACGGCAGCTTGCACGAGGAGATCTGGCTGCGCCGCCCACCTGGCTTCACCGGGTCGTTTCGTGCAGGTACTCAGTGGAGCCTCCGGCGGCCAGTCTATGGTCTCCGCCAGGCGCCTCGCGAGTGGCACGACACACTGAGGACTATACTTGCGGCTCTGGGGTTTACTCCTTCTACTGATGACCTGTCGCTGTTTCTACGCACCGACACGTCGCTGCTGCCGTTCTACGTCTTCGTGTACGACGACGACCTCGTCTTTGCCACTATTGACACTGAGGCACTTACCCTTGTAAAGTCGAAGCTGCAGAAGAGATACACCTGCACTGACCTGAGTGAACTGCGCAGCTAACTTGGCTTGCAGATCACCCGGGACAGGGCACGGCGCACCATCACCCTGACTCAGTCACACATGGTGCACCAGGTCCTTCAGCACTTCAGCTTCCAGTTCTCCTCGCCACAGCCCACTCCTCTGTCTACAGACCACTCGCTCTCAGCTCTACCTTCGGACGAGTCCGTAGAGCCGAGTGGTCTGTACCCAGAGCTTGTGGGTTGCCTCATGTACCTGATGACGTGCACACGACCTGACCTCGCGTACCCTCTCAACCTTCTGGCTCGCTACGTGGCTCCCGGTAGGCACCGAAAGGTGCACTGGGACGCTGCGAAGAGGGTACTGCGTTACTTGTGCAGTACGTCGGGCATGGGGCTCGTGCTTGGAGGACGGGGTCCAGTTGTCCTCACTGGTCACGCAGACGCTTCTCGGGTTGACGACTCAGCTACGCTCTCTTTCCTGGCGGTCTACCCGCTCGTCTTCAGTTCTCAGCTCTAGTTGTGAGGCTGGGATCTACGCAGGGGCCATGGCTGCACAGGAGCTACGCTGGCTCACCTACCTGCTGTCTGACTTGGGAGAGCAGCCTCGTTCGTCTCCAGTTCAGTACGTAGACAACAAGGCCATGATTGCCTTGTGTCTGGAGCACAGACTGGAGCACAGAACGAAGCACATCGCTCTGCGATACTTCCTTGCTCGAGAGTTGCAGCAGCGTGGCCAGCTTCGTCTTGCGTACGTGGCCACTAGGGCCAACACTGCTGATATATTCACGAAGGCACTTCCGCTTGGTGATCATCAGCGCTTCTCTACTGTGTTAGGCCTTGTGCCTACTTTGCCTCACTTGCTCACTGTGCGACTTTGCTTGTACTGTGATATATATATATATATATATATATATATATATATATATATATACCTGCATGCTTCCACTTGCTAGGGTATGATCACTGTATTCTTTGTGTTCTTTATATAACTCTGTATGTGAACTGGCCTTCTGGCTCTTTGCTTGTGGTTGGACTGTGTGGTGACTTTGTGATCCACCCTGAGCTTGCTTGCTGTGTGGTGACTTTGTGACCACTTGTTCTCCCCCACTTTGCCTATGGGGGTGTGTCAGAATGTTATATTGATTACATTTTGTAGGCTATAGTGGGGTAGCCCATTAGGGGTACTACCCAATTAAGGTTAGTACTTGTACCCAACTGTTTCATAGTTCATTCATTCTCGTTCATTCTTCTGACATAGTGCTCTGAAAGTCAAAACACTGGAAAAACAGTGTTGGAAATCTACAAACACTATAAACACAATATGAAAAATAGAAGGCTTAAAGTTCATGGTCACATTTAGAAACCACACTGATTTCCAAGAATTCGAGGTTTAACTCTTTCCCATAGCCTGAGTCCGATGACCGCGTTCAGCAGGATTCGATCCTGCGCGTGCACAGCCCAATAGATTTCGGGTCTGTCCCGTTAACCACTCCGGCATGAACGCTTGTTTCTAGATATATATTTTAATGTATAATGCCAAAATAAAACGCTCTTCACCCAATCCCATGGTATCATGTGTGTCCATCGTCGACATGGCGCTTATCTCTTCGAAAGTCGTGGCCTCGCGCCTGTCTTGTCTGGCTCTCCCTCGTCTCGCCTCCTCTATTGCCGCATTGCCCCACATTAGCGTCTCTGCACCTGACCTCGTGTCGTCCCGCCGCATTGCACTCGTCTCTCACCGCGCAGTTTCTCGCATGCCGACAATCGTGACGGCGTCAGTGGCGTCACCACGAGTGGCGGCGGAGGCGGCGCCGTCTGTGCCCGTGGCGGACCTGCTCGCGGCGGCGGAGGCTGCTGCAAACAAGGGCGCTGCGGTCAGTCGGGGGAGTAATGGGGAATGGCAGGAGTCGGGGTCGGGCCAAAAGAAAAACGGCGATGGGGAAAACGGCTGGTGCGCGATGATCTGGGGAGATGCGTCCGGTGATAGCGAGCGCGGATTGCGCCGGGATGTCAATCAGCGGAGGCATGGCGGGGTTCACATGCGATGCAATGCGATGCGCGCAGTGTGCGTGCGCGATGCGATGGTGCACTGACCCGTTGAGACGTGCGCGTGTGCGTGCGCAGGTGATCATGGCGGCGCTGGACAAGCCGCGCGACATCACGTACAAGGGCGCCACGGACCTCGTCACCAAGTGAGCGCCGCCGCGCCCACCCCGCCGCGCGTTCATTTCCTGCTCTGCCCGCACCTGCCCGGCGCACGCCGCCCCCCTCATCTCTTTCCCTCAACCACCACCACCCCTCTTCCCGGAACTCGCCCTAAACCCCGATACGTCGTATTAGCTTGAGAGCCGTTGCTCTGTGTAAGTTATAACCCCCAAACCCCCTCTCCCTGTGCGCGGCGCGGCGCGCAGCACGGACCGCGAGAGCGAGGAGGCGGTGGTGGAGGAGATCCTGCGGCGCTTCCCGACGCATTTGCTGCTGGGGGAGGAGGGCGGAGTCATTGGGGACTCCGCCTCGCCCTTCCTCTGGTGTGTCGACCCCCTCGGTACGTCCGCCCTCTGCCCTCCGCACGTGCAACCCATCGTGCCTGCACTCGGGCTTATCACCCCAACATTCTCATTCGTGACTCTGCCCCTCGCCTCACATGCCCATTTCTTCTCGTGGCCGTGCCCCATCAGACGGCACGACCAACTTCGCCCACGGGTACCCGTCTTTCGCCACCTCGGTCGCCGTGCTCTTCCGAGGCAAACCCGTCGCCGCCTGTGTCGTGAGTCACCCTCCGCGCCCCCCCGCCTCCCTGCTTCCGCATTGCACTGTCCTTTCCGCCTGCTTCCCCACCATCCCCCCTTTGCGCCAGCCCTCACTTTCCCATTTGCTTCTTCTCTGGGCCCCCATCCTCCCTCCTTTGCATTCCACCTCCCTCGTTCCCTCGCATCGCACGCACCACACGCTGGTCCCACCAGCACTAGTGATGGGCGCAAGGCAGAGCGAGCAGCACGTAGGAATGGGACCAGGTGTGGGTGCGACGCTCACAGTGGCATTGTCTGTGGGAGCGCACTTGCGGGCAGAGTGGTGTGCGGGCAGGGCTGGGCAGGGCAGGGCAGGGCAGGGCAGGGCAAGGCAGGGCAGGGCTGGGCAGGGCAGGGCAGGGCTGGGCAGGACAGGGCACGGCGGGCAGGCAGAGTGCAGCAGGTGGGTGTTAGTGTGCGTTGTGCCTGGGGAGGCGGTGCGCCCATGGCATCAGCGGGCTGTTGGGGTGGGGTGGTCACCATGCACTGCGAGTGGTGTCATGGCAGGGCCAAGGGGGTGTGAGGCGTACTGCGAGTAGTGTGAGTGGGTGGGGAGAGCATGCACGCCCGAGCGGGGCAGCCTGCTGCCTTGTGCTGCACGCCTTGAGGTCCGCCGCTCATGCCTGGCACCAGGGGAGCGGTAAAGTGCGAAGCACGATGAGAAGAGCAGCAGGTGGCAAGGGGGGGAAGGGCCGAGTGGAGGAGTCGTGATGGGACGAAGATTGAGCTGCTGGCGTCTCCTCCCCTCTCCCAGGCACACAGGTGCACCAGCAGTGTGCTGGGCAACGCAGCATGCAGGTGTGAGCGCAGTGCAGCAGGCATGGCATGCCTGTGGGGTGGCAGGCGTCAAGGCAGGGCTAGGGTGCAAGGCCGCCCTGCAGTGCGGAAGAGTGGGAGCACCCCGGCCTCAGCACGTGCTGTGCACACCGCCAAGCATGTGCTCAGTGCCCACGCAGTGCGCTTCCCTCCACACTCCCTCTGTACTGCTTGCCTGCACTGCTGCCTTGTGGAGTGTGCACCACCCGCAAGCCACCCGCAAGCCACCCGCGGCAGGGCCTTGCATGGAGTGTGTGGGGCTGCGTGTGGGGCATTGCAGGCGTGCACTAAGGGCAGCTGGCTGGGCACCCTCTGCGCTGCTGCCTGCACAGCGGCTGGGGTTGTGCTGGGTGGAGGGCGCAGCACATGCATGCAGCCCGCACATGTAGCACGCACGTGCAGCCCAGGCATGGCATGCTGTGCGCCGCCACGTGGTGCTAGCGCGCTAGGGGCATGGGTGGTGGGAGAGCAAGGCAGAGTCCTCGCATGGTGATGCACAGGCTCGTGCATGTGGCTGTGCGTGGCGTTGCTGCTGCTATGCTCCCACTGCCAGCCGGTGTGAATGGGGACAGCCATGCACCACGCCACGTGCTGCCAGCTGCACCGCACTGCTGTGGCGATGCATGCTGCTATGCACTCCCATAGCACAATCTGCACATAGAAACATTCTTCTTCCATCCAGTCTGCATGAAACATTAAAAATGCCGAGCGTGAAGCGTCATGCGCTGCGAAAAGCACCAATTCCCACATAGCCGGGATAACACAGTGCTGATGGCAACGCATTCACATGCGTACAGGCGAGCTGCCTTTGCCATGTCACCTGGTACAGTGCAAGGGTTGGGGTGGCTCTTCTGGCAGGGAGAGGTGGTGCATTCACATGATGTGTGGCGTGCAGCTCACAAGGCTGATTAGGTAGGGAAGACGCGAGGTGCACCAAGGTGTCGTGTCACTTGCCCTGTTTGGCCACGCACCCCACTGCATGCCTCGCTGCGGAGCACATGTAGCAGGGCAGCACCATCACCCCACTGCATGCCTGCACCATCACCCCACTGCATGCCTGCACCATCACCCCTTTTCTCAGTGGTCCGGCCGCCATGTGCCTGTGCTCCCATCGCTGCTACGGCTGCCTCATGCCATGCCTTGCCCTGTCAAATCACCCGCCACATGTGCCCTGCACTGTGCTGCCCATCCACCACGCCAACCTACCAGGTGGAGTTTGCAGGAGGGCCGCACTGCTGGGTCACACGCACCTTCACTGCTTCCTCAGGTGCGCTGCTGCCCTGCCACGCCCTGCCTGCCGCATGTGTGCTTGCTCGCCCTCCCACTGTAGCACCCCCTTCCTGCCAGCATCACGTGGGGCGGCATGGGGCTGTACAGAGGAGCTGCCAGGGGGAGTGCAGCAGCAGCTGCCACGCCCATGAGGCGTCCCGCGAAATCCCTTGCTTCATGCTGCCTCGTCCGCTCCTTGTCTCGTCACCTCTTGCCATACTTGCCATACTTGCCATGCCTGTCATGCCTGTCATGCCAGGCGGAGGAGCCTTCTGCAACGGCCATCCCATCCATGCCAGCACCACCGCCAAGGTGCCTCCCCACTCCCTCCCTCCATTGCACGACCCCCTCTCCTGTTTTACGCTCCTCACATGCCTTGCCACATGCACACATGCCCTGCCTGCTTTCACCCCTGCATGCGCCCTCCGCCAGTCACCACTCTGCTTTTTTAACCACTGCTGTCGAAATCTCTGTCTCATCACGCTCTCTTCAACAAAACCCCATTCTACCTGCTATCCTGTTGCATGCATCCCTCCATGTGCCAAGCCTGCCAGCACATCACCATCTCCTCACACCCTCTCCCTCGTGCATCCAACCCACTGCGAACCCTCGCCATTCTTGCCACCTGTGCATCCTTGAGCTCCCCCTCCTCTTGACTTCCGGCCTCTCATGCTGCCACCCCAACCCAGCACGTACGCACTGCTCATCTGCCTTCCTCACGCCCTCCCCCCACGGTGCTGTGTGCGGGCAGGTGGAGCAATCGCTGCTGGTGACGGGGTTTGGGTACGAGCACGATGCTGCGTGGGCCGCTAACATCGACCTCTTCAAGCACTTCACAGACGTCAGCAGGGTATGTCGTGCCATGTCGTGTCGTTTCGTGCCGTGCCGTGCCGTCCCGTGCCGTGCTGTGCTGTGCCGTGCTGTGCTGTGCCGTGCCGTGCTGTGCTTTGCTGTGCCGTGCCGTGCTGTGCCGTGCTGTGCTGTGCCGTGCCGTGCTGTGCCGTGCCGTGCTGTGCTGTGCTTGTCGGACTAACAAACGAGAATGAATGCATTGAGCAGAAAGTTGGGTACAAGTACTAACCCTAATTGGGTTGTACCCCTTATGGGCTACCCCACTATAGCCTACACAAAGTAAACACTATAACATTCTGACAGTGCAGTGCAGTGCAGTGCTGTGCAGTGCAGTGCTGTGCTGTGCTGTGCTGTGCTGTGCTGTGCTGTGCTGTGCTGTGCTGTGCTGTGCTGTGCTGTGCTGTGCAGTGCAGTGCTGTGCTGTGCTGTGCTGTGCCAAGGTGCACCTGCCTGATCACCAGAAGTGCAATCGCTGCCTGCATGTGCCATGTGCTGCCAGTGAGGTGGAGATGCAGCAACCCATCTACCATGTGCTCACTCCCCCCCCTCCCTTCTCCCTCCCTCTTACTGCACCACCCTCCCCCGCTCCCACCATGCCACCATGCCGTCCGTGCCATGTGTGGAGCCATGGCAGGGGGTGCGGCGGCTGGGAGCAGCAGCGGTGGACATGTGTCATGTGGCGCTGGGAGTGGTGGACGCCTTCTGGGAGTTCCGCCTCAAGCCCTGGGACATGGCTGCTGGCGTCCTCGTATGTGCCCTCTCCAATCCCCCCCCATCCTACCCCATGGCTGTGCCTCGTACTCACCTCGCATGCCTTCCACCTCCCGCTCCACCTAGCTACGGCCAAGCAGTAGTGTGGCGAGTGCGCTAGTGATGCTACAATTCCTCTATTCTATTTTCCAATCTCGGTCTGGGTGTACAACTGTGGTTTTTGCCCAAGTCAATTTTCTCCTCCAACCTTGGCGAAAATGTTTGGGCCACAAGGCTAGGGTTGTGGAGTATTAGAGGACCAAGATTATGGGAGCCCCGGATGATTTTCCAACCCAACCTATTAGTGGGGGCCAATAATCTTGGCAAGCTCCCAGACAACCCCCCTACCCCTAGCTCATCGAGATATACCCACTGAAACTAATCCCAGAATCACTCTTTCACGTTCAAATCGCAACCTTAACAGAAATGTAACAAGTGGTGCGTGTGGGTGGTGCGGTGAGTGCAGATAGCAGAGGAGGCGGGTGCGCAGGTGACGTGCATGGACGGGGGGGACTTCTCTGTCTTTGACCGCTCCGTGCTCATCACCAACGGCCCCCTGCACGACCAGGTACGTACTCGTGCCTCCCACATGCTTCTGGTGGAGCTTTTCCTCTGTTGAGCTACTTCCGTTGTCTCGATGGTTGAGTTGGCTGTTGGTGCCACCATGTTGCCCCCCTCTGCGTCCGCTCTGCTGTGTGCTACCTCAGATGCTGGCAACTATCGCGCCGACCACCATGGGGCTCATCGCGGATGGCTTTGACTTCTCCCATTGGTTCAAGCCTGCAGACTATGAATCTGATGTCTAGGCACGCAAATTATGCTCTCCAATGGTTTCATTCCCCGTCAGGGCTGCTGACGCAATCAGACTGTTTCATTCTCGGACCCTGATTTTTCAGAATGACCCTTCTGTCAACACTGATTTATTCAGACTAGGCTGAACCCTGAGTTTACTTAACTGTTTCGGAGTTGGGTTTGTCCGGGGGCCGATAACACGGCCCCTGGTTTGCAAGCACTTTATTCCGTCCTCAGAATCCAACATCAATGGCCAGCAATTTTACCGTCGTACCCCGGATATAAGTGCAGGTGCGCTTACCATTATAAAATGCGTTCTAGGGGTTGCGCTTCTAATTGAGTAGAAAGTATAAGCGCATGCGCTTGTAATACGTAAATAATGAATTTGTTTTGACAAATAGAGAGAGAGAGAGAGTGTGTGTGTGTGTTTGTGTGTGTGTAGGTGTGTTTGTGTGGGTGTGTGTGTGTGTGTGTGTGCGTGTGTGCGTGTATGTCTGTGTCTGTGTTTGTGAATGTGTGTATGTGTGACTGTGTGTGTGTGTGTCTATGTGTGCGTGCGTGCATGCGTGTATGCGTGTGTATGTGCGTGTGTGTGTACGTGTGTGTATATGTGTGTGTGTGCGCGTGTGTGTGTGTGTGTGTGTGTGTGTGTGTGTGTGCGTGTGTGGGTGCGTGCCAGATCCCCAGAAGTCAGAAATTTCTCTGATTTGCCAAAAAAACTCTGATATTTCAGCCTTTTTTCGAAGTGAACTCTGAAAATTCAGCCTTTTTTTGAGAAAAACCAGGAAAAATGCGATTTTTTCTAGTGTGCAGTGGTATTTCTGCAGGAAAAACTATGATTTTCAGAGTTAAGTCATGTACCAACTCTGAATTTTCAGACTAGCCCAAAACCACTCTGAGGGCCTGGTGCGTGCGTGTGTGCGTGCGTGCGTGCGTGTGTGTATGTGTGTCAGAATCTAGCGAGCAGGAATCAATGAACTACGAGAATGTTGGGTACAAGTACTAACCCTAATGGGTTATACCCCTTGTAGGCTACCCCACTATAGCCTAGAGATAACACACAAACATGCAGTTTTGATACACCCCCGTAGGCTAAGTGGGGGATAGCAAACACAACAAACGGTCACAAGACCAGTCAAGCAAAGAAACAAAGCGAAGCAAAGCTCAGGGTCGATCTCAAGATCACCATGCAGTTTGAGCACAAGCAAGCGGCCACAAGGCCAGTTCACATGTAGAGTTATGAACCCCCAGCACCAGCACATCCAGCACCCCCAGCACCAACAGCTCCAGCACCCCCAGCACCAGTACATCCAGTACCAGCATCTCCAGCACCTACAGCTCCAGCACCCTCAGCACCAGTACCTCCAGTACCAGTGCCTCCAGTACCTCCAGTTCCAGCATCACCAATACCAGCTCCTCCAACACCAGTTCCTCCAGTACTAGCGCCTCCAGCACCTCCAGCTCCAACACCTCCAGCTGCGCCACGGCGAGAGTGTCTCCTGTCGACGAGACTAAAACCTCCAGCAGGAGCACCTACGACTCCACCACCACTAGAACACACAGCACCCCCAGAAGCAGCACCCCCAGAAGCAGCACCCCGAGACTCTGCATCCCCAGAACCAGCACCTCCAGTGTCAGCACCCCCAGCAGCACCGGATTCCACAGTGACAGGATGCAGAGGCGGCAAGGACAGCCGATGCGGAAACCAGGAGGGGTCTCCAAGCGTGGGGAGCGGCGAGTGGCCGCTGTGTCGTCAGAAACAAGGTAACCCCCCTCAGCTGGGCCAGAGGTGTCAGAGGAGATCTCCAAAGGCGCAGCCACGGGGGTGGGTCGACCTGAGATACACATGAGGGAGCAGGACCCTGTGGGGGTATGGGGTCTACCGCGGGGGACCTGGAACCAGAAAGAGGGGCGGCGGGGGGACAAGAGAAGACGCGTAGGGGTGGAAACGGTAGAAGCAAACCGACTCGTCAAAGGTGACGTCCTGGGAGGACAGGACGCGGCGCGAGGAAGGGTGGTAAATCTGCCAGGGCAGGGCATCGGTGGGAAAGCCAAGGAAGATGCAGCGGATGTCAAAATAACGAACGAGAATGAATGAACTAGCAAACCGAAGCGCTGAAGGACCTGGTGCACCATGTGTGACTGAGTCAGGGTGATGGTGCGCCGTGCTCTGTCCCGGGTGATATGCAAGCCAAGATAGCTGCGCAGTTCACCCAGGTTAGTGCAGGTGTGTCTCTTCTGCAGCTCCGACTTCACAAGAGTCAGTGCCTCAGTGTCAACAGTGGCAAAGACGAGGTCGTCGACGTAGACAAGGACGTAGAACGGCGCTAGCGAGGTGTCGGTGCGTAGAAACAACGACGGGTCAGCAGTAGCAGGAGCAAACCCAAGAGCCGCAAGTGTAGTCCTCAGTGTGTCGTGCCACTTGCGAGGCGCTTGGCGGAGACCGTAGACTGGCCGCCGAAGACTCCACTGAGTACCTGCAGGAAAAGACTCAGTGAAACCAGGTGGGCGGCGCAACCAGATCTCCTCGTGCAGGCTGCCCTGCAGGAACGCTGTGCTGAAGTCCAGAGAGTGCAACTCGTAGTCACGCTGAGCAGCGACGAGAAGCCTCCCTGTCGCTGACTGAAGCCTCTAGCAACGTAACGCACCTTGAAGGCGGGCGGAGAACCCGGCGGCCGCTTCACCCTGAAGATCCACATGCCATCGACTATGTTCGCCCCAGGTGGGGGAACCTCGTCGACGTAGGAGCCTTTGGACTTCCAGGATGCCATCTCGGCATGCATGGCTTCCTGCCACCGAGAGGAGTAAGGACCTGTAATCGCCTCTGCGTAAGACCGCGGGGTCGACATGTCTGGAGCACCCGTGTCTCCCTCAGGGGCAAGCAGCATGGAAGCAAAACGAGGTAGAGCAGCTGCAAGACACTCAAAGTCCTCTGCCTGTCCTCAAGGACGTCCGTGCCAAGAGCACACTCACCCCCGACGGACGGAGGACTGGCTGACGCAGACTCAGCAACAAGAGCAGAGGCGTAGTCTAGACGACAGGCAGCAGCAAAGTCAAGCAGCTCAGCAACGAGAGCAGACGCAGCAGAAGACTCAAAAGAGGGGTCTGTGACAGCAGTGGTGAGAAGACGAGAGACACTGGGACTAGCAGCACGAGCACGGTCAGACTCAGGGTCAGGGACCTCAGGAAGAGAGGACTCAGGAGGAACTGGCAGAGGAACACGTAGAGGAACGGAGGAAGGACGAAGGGTCATAGCGTGCGTGCCAGGGACAGGAGGAGGACGCGAACGAGGAACGCGACGAGCAGTGCAAACAGGCGAGACAGGACGAGACGCAGGCTCACGACGCTCTATAAGACCGCCAGGTTGCTCAGTGTAAGGAGAAGGAGCAGGCAGTGGAGAGGCCAGCTGTAACGGCGGGTGCGACTGGTCAGGCGGGGGACACAGGAGGGGAGGAGTAAGGGCAGCAGAAGGCGGGGTACGAAGAACCTGCTGGAGCAGGGGAACGAAGTACGGTCGCGGCCACACAGTGCCACCAGGGGCAACAGCTCCAGCTCCTCCAGCTCCAGCGCCACCAGCGCCAGTAGTACCAGACTCGGTAAGGCCTCCAGCTCCAGCACCCTCAACACCACCAGTCCCGGCAGCTCCAGTACCTTGGGTACGAGCACCTCCAGGACCAATGGTCGCAGTACCTCCAGTAACACCAGCTCAAGCAGCAACTCCAGGACCTCCACCTCCAGCAACGCCAGCACCTCCAGCTCCGGAAGCTCCACTCCGAATTTTGCGTACGCCAAACAAACCACTCACGCAACTGCTGCGGAGACAGTCTCGGCGAAGCACCAGCAGAACCTCCAGACGAAGCAGCACCCTGAGGCTTTGCACCTCCAGACTCCGCACCCTCCGAAGCAGCACCCCCAGGCTCAACACCCTCAGGCTCAGCACCCCCAGGCTCACCACCCCCAGTCGCAACACCCCCAGGCTCAGCACCCCCACTCTCAACACCCCCAGACTCAGCACCCCCAGTCTCAGCACCCCCAGTCTCAGCACCCTTAGACTCCGCACCCCCAGGCTCCGCACCCCCAGACGCAGCACCCCGAGCAGCACCTGAGTCGACAGCTACCTGAAAAGGAGCAGGACCAGGGAGAGGGTCTACCTGAGACACACATGAGGGAGCAGGACCCTGGGGTGGGAGGGGGTCTACCGGAGGGGGACCGGGAGCAAGGAAGAGCGGCGGGGGCGGGGGAGGGGAAGAGCGGTAGGGGAAGAGGCGGTAAAAGGGAACCGACTCGTCAAACGTGACGTCTTGAGAAGGGAAGACACGGCACGAGGTGGGGTGGTAAAACTGCCAGCCAGGCGCGTCGGGGACAAAGCCAAGGAAGACGCAGGGGATAGCACGGGGGGAGAGCTTGTCCGCTGATGTATCGCGAACAAAGGCACGAGATCCCCAGACCCAGAACACTGATGCATCGCCAACCTCCCCCGTCCAACGCAGTGTGGGCGAGGTCTCCAGCAAGGAGACACGGGGCCAGAGGTTGAGCTGATGCGCAGCTTACCGGACCGCAAACGGCCACAGAAAATGGGGAGCGGCCGCATGGATCATGGAGGTAAGAGCGACCTCCATGACTAAGCCAATGCGGCGCTCAGCAATCCCATTTTGCTGAGGGGATTCCGGAAGCGTGAACGACTGGAGAATGCCCTCCCCACGACAAAAGTCCCGCAAGAGGGTGGAGGAGAACTCATCACCTCTGTCAGAGTGCAGACGCAGGACAGGACGGTCCTGGCTGAACCGCTCGCGGAGCTGGAGACAGACTGTGCGGATCCAAGGGATTAAGACATGAACGACCTGACCCTTGCTGTGCAAGGGGAAGTCCGTGGTGTACCGCGTGTAGTCGTCAACTACCAGCAGAAAGTAGCGCTCGCAGCTCTGTCCACTGACGCGGGCTGGGCCCCACACGTCCATGTGGAGAGTCTGCAGGGGACCAGACGTCGGGGGAAACGAGGAGGAGTGAGGAGCGG